TCCTCTCAACATATCTTCTAAATATCGCCATTTAGAAAGCAAAATGGCTTTTTTTTCCAGTTGTTCCTTGCAGTTTTACTATGGATGTACACGTGTTGTGTAGTTAATACTTTTCCCCCACCCTGCTATCAGTGCTATAATAGCTGGCCAGAATGCTCTTTAGCCAGAACAATTTTCGTAAGAGGCTCAGTAAGAGACCTCTGGAATGAAGGATGATTAATTTTCCCCTTCCCCCAAGTAGTTGCACTGTGCTGTCTTTAAGTGGTTGCTATAAATAAATCACTTCTGTTTTCCCTTTGTCACTGAGAGCTGCATTGTATTCTGAAACGGCTCATCTATTCTTCCTTTAATGTTCAGCTGCTTCTTGCTATACCCCTAGAGCTTAATACGCAGATGTTGTAATAAGATATTTAATGGCAAATACATTGATCTGGTTGTGCCAAGTAAATTGTGCACTTGAACTCTGACTAAAATAAATGAAACCTCTGCACCAGTGTTATTGTTTCTGGTGCCTGTCCTCAGGATTCAGCAGCACTTTACATTGCAGGTGAGTCAGATGGGAGCACAGTTGTCTCTGTAATGGTGATGCTCATCAGTGCTGAGACTGTCACAGTGCCAGGGCATATTTCTATGTTGTTTGCAGTGTTATAAAAAATCTGTTAGAATTTAAATGACTAGTGCTGGCTCACAACATGATACAGATTGCTATTAGGAGAAGGGTGGCTGTAGTTTGGTCTGTGAGGGTTTTCTTACTCATTCTTATGGACAGTAGCGGGGGTTGATTTAACCCTCTCTTACAGCATCTGAGGTGGTAGTGTTAGGGCAGTTCAGTTTTCCCCACCTGGGTGCACGTTTCCTTTCAGATGTACTGCCTGCCCATTAAGGTAGTGGTAAGTACAAGTTGTAGTCTGGCTGGTAAGGGAAAGTTTCCAAACGCTTCCCTCATTTGTTAATTGCAGAGGGCAAAGCTTTCCCTGAATAACCCCACAACGATGCTTACCACTGTCACGTTTGGAAGTTCTGCTAACCATTCACTAGAGGCAGCCTTGTTGCCTTTATAATGCAGCTTCAACTGGTGTCACTGCTGTATTTGAACTATAGCTGAAGTCTAGGTGGTGCTTGTGGCAGAAGACCTGTCCTTCTGAGCACTGCAGTCTCTTTCCAGTTCTTTAATGAAGAACGTGTTTGAGCTCATCAGAATGTTTGGCACCTTCCTAAAATTAATGTTAAACAAAATTCTGGGTGTCTGTTCCAATTTAAGATACTTGTAAAATCTTCCAGCATCTGCCCTGTGAAGCCCTGGCTGTGTTTTTCTTAGCAGGCAAAGCTTTCCTTGACTAAAACATGGAGATTTTGGCATGAAAAACCTGAAAGAAGTGAAAACCCCCACAAACGTTTTTCTCCTTGATGCCATGAAATCACTGTTCCCCTTTGTTCACAAAGCTTCTGTTAGCTGGTAGCAGAGAGAAGTGCTTTGGGTAGTGTCAATACAAATATACCTACTTGGGCTCCTCAGCCTCTTCAGAAAAAGTGGGTTGAAATTAGCCTAGTGAATTTGATTCAGATGGATGCTTTAACCTCTGAAAAGGAAGGTGCTGGGCCTTTGTGTAGTGCAGCAGTGTGCATGTCCATCTGGGCCAGGTTGACTGTCAGCCTGTCCTTTGCTGTTGTCCTTCTGCTCTTCTGTACTTCCTGGGCTGCATTTACAGCTTGTCGTTTTCATGTGTGTCTAGATGAGAGTTTGCAGCATTCTCGGTAATCTCTGCCTTGTGTTGGACCTGCCTATGTTGGGCAAATCCAGGCTTAACCCTTAATCCAGTCTCTTGTTGGATGCTGTATATAGGGCCACCCTTTGAGAAGCTTACTTGGATGGGTCCCATACTTCGGGTTGCAGCCTGGTGCCGTCAGAGCGGGTGGTATGAGTAAGAAGCTATAGAGCAAACTGACTTCAGTTTCTCTGCCTGCCTGTTTATGGGCAGCAGTTCAAAGTGCTGTCTGTGGGTGTGGGTGTGGGATACTTGGCTTTTGCACCTGCAGTGCCAGGGTAGGTTAGATAGGATGTGCTTGTTCCTTGAACTGAATATTCAAATACCATGGTCAATTAAAAGCCTCCCTTTTGAAAGGTACACTCCATGACACATTGGCATAGCTTTTATTTGATGACTGGATATGTCCCTAGTTTAGATAGATGAATTCAGTACTTCACTGCTGAAGGCTCTAGCTGCAGATTATCTTCTGGATGATGATGGGCTATAAGGAACCTTTCCGGCAGCTGTGGTGTTTGAAATGGGACATTATGCCATATTATCATGCTTCTATTTTAAGTGTAGATACACTTCTGTTCTTGGGGGTGTTGCCACCATGCAGAGTGCCTTCTGGAGCCTGCTTGGGCTCTGTGGAGGTGGCTTGCTTGGCTTTTCATGGGGGTGGTAGACAGCCTGGGAGCTGATCAGCAGAATTTAGCATCTGTGACAAGAGGCTGCTGCTGCTCCTGGCTTTAACTTGACATGATGAAGGACCACCTGATTCATAAAGCATCAGCTGTGGGAGCATCTCTGCAGTATTGACCTTCCAAATGTGACAGGCTCTTAAACTTTGTGGACTGTAGCAAAGAGAATATCAACTCTGAGTTCAACCCAGAAGCTTTTTATGAAAAGCTGTCTGACAAATGCTATAAAGATAGAGGGAGAAAATATGTTAGTACAGTCATTTTTCTGCTTCTGTGAGTCAGCTTGTTCTAATGGTTTTGAAGTAGAGAGCTCATCATCGTTTGGGGTTTTTAAGTGCAGGTTGTATGCAGTGTTAGCTCGCTTAAATTTCTGCTGTGCCATGATTGACTGACCTAAAGTTACATCAGAATAGGATAGTTAGCCTTAAAATAACAAGAAAACATGCTTTTTAGTGCTGATTACCCATTGAAAAAGTGTTTTGTGGGGGGATTTTTTTGTTGTTGATTTTTACTTTTAAATTCAAACGGCAAATAGCAGCTTTGTAAGGCTGGTTTTATCTCATCTCTGCAAGAACATATTTTGATTCAATCAATGCATCAAGCAGCAACATGTGGCTCTTGGGCTACCTGCAGCCCAGGAGTAGTTTGAGTGTGGCTCCCATGCCAAGGCTGTGCAGCGTGACCCAGATTGTGGGCTGTGTTGGCCTAGGGCCTGTGGATAATCCAAATTATCCAAGCAAGTGGGAGGAAGCAAATTAGCAGAGGCTGGTGTGGCTGGCACCACCTGATACCCAGCTGCATCCCAAGCCTGCGGTGTAGCACGGTGATCCCTGTGGAACAGTTGTTAGATGTATCCTTTGAACCTTTCCCTTCATCTCCTTATACAAAAGTGGTCTGTATGGTTGGCTGTAGGAGGGTAGTTTGGGTGACAGGGACTGGAAGGCTGGTCAGCCCTTACTAGCAGTTAGTGGTCAGCAGCAAGGCATTCTCCTGTCAAAGCTTACTGTTCTGTGCCCTCTTTCCCCTTCCCCTCTCAGTCTCCAGTTTCCCTATGTAGTCACATTTCTCTTTGCACTGCTTGTTGCTTATTTTGCCCACCCGTTGGGCTAGACCTCAGCCTTGGGAGCCTTTCTGTGGCCGAAACCTGTGACTCACAGCAGCAAAAGTGTTTTAATGTATATTTCTTCCTTAAAAAAATGTATATTTATGTATGTGTGTGTACACACGTGTATCTTCATAACGCACTAAACATTTGGGAGTTTAAATTTACATGAGCTAGTGTAAGGTCTTACTGCAGCTTAGTTGCACATCTGCACACACCTGGCATCAAATAGAGAGATGAGCAGGTAAATCGCTGCAGCACTGCTGAGAAATGCTTTTGTGGTAGTGTGTGTGTAAGAGAAGAGATGGAAGCAGCTCTTCCCTTCTTGCTTAGAAAAAATACGTGTGGGAGAACTTTTAGAGACCATTTTCCAATCTGTCAGAAGTCTGTGCTGCTTGTGGATTTGCAGACTTTAGTCATACGTGTGAGTAACAAGTTCATGGGATGCAGCAGCACCAGGTGTCAGGCCATGGAGTTTTGAGCGCTGTGATCTTGGCTTTAGATTCAAATGTTGTCTGTTGGTGTGAATTGAGAAACTTAAGTCTGCAATCGCTTAACCAGTTGGCTACCTTGTTAGATAAACTTCTCTGCACTACTCCTATTGATGGTAGTGCAGATAAATAATGCAAATAGTGTTTGTTCTAGAAGAAAGATGCCATTTTGAAAGAAAAGGAAAGAAGAATGAGTTCTCTAGTAGAGATCTGTTTGTGCTTTTACAACTTAATTTATTCTGAATGAAATATTCAGGCTTGCATAACTAAACCAGTTGAAATTGAAACTTCAAAGTAAACTTGTTCTTAACCTCATTGAGGAGGGAAAACCAGTTCAAGATACAAACAAAATTAAAATTTCTAAATCCAAGCTGCCTGTTTTAATTCATATTGAAACAGTTTGCTCCTGGTGAACTGTGGTACAGCATCCCTGCATTCTTACAACTACCAAACATGGGGAGAGGCTTTTACTTTACTGCTGGCGTGAGATAATTGTGCTCCTCTCAGGGTGGCTTACTTAATTCTTATAATTTGGATGTAGTGCTTCCATGTGGCTCCAGTAAGTCTTCGTTTTCCTGTGCAGTCTGTGCCTGTGTACTGCATGAGCATGCCAAAGCGCTTTGCACGTACAGACAAAACTTGAGCCTTGCAGTGTTGCTTCAGGATTGTTATCCAAAGTTTGCCTTTCCTGATGAAGGTTTAAAAACAAAGACACACAAAAACACCCAACAAAACAGAAAACGACAAAGCACTCCTTCCACCTGGGGAAGGCAGACAAGTCTGCAGCAGCTTTTCCTTTTCCAGCTGTGGCAAGAACAATTCCTTTTCTCCCTTGCCTGTTTTTAATAGCACAGACTGCCCCAGCATAAGCTGTGCTTTACTGTGTCCTTGCCATGAAACAGAAATCCTTCCCCAGTTGTTTGCATCGCAATAGCAGATTGTCTCTTTCTTTTTCTAGCCATCAGAAATGGACTGTGGTATTCATCTTAAGAAAACAAAAACTCAGGATTCTGGTGGGAACCGTGAGCAACAGGAGGAGGAGACCAGTCTTGCAAATACCTTGGAGCATATTATGGGACAGCTGGATGTTCTGACTCAGGTATGGTTTGCTCTTTTATTTTATAGTGAAAAGAGTACCTCTGGCTGGAACAACTTGGAATATTTTGCAGTAGTTTTATAGAATAAAAGTGTGGCTAATTTAAAACCTTGCTATTTAGTAGCTTTTCGATAAATCTGTCTTCGTCTGCTTGTCAGCTTATCCCTTATCGGTTCCTTCACATCTTCCTGAGTTCCAGCTTAGGCCCAGCCCTTCCCCTAACTCCTTTATGCTGCAGTGTTGCAGAGCACTCCTTGAGCCAGCTCTGGTTCCCTGTGCTATTAGCCATGGTTCGTCTAAGGTAATGCCTGAAGGAGCTGTTGGCAGTGGGACTCTGTTTTGGTGTATAATCTGTCTCTCTTCCCTCCCTCATTATACTGCAGTCTATAGGCAAACTCTGTTCAGATCCCACTCCTTTTCCCCACCCAACATTCACCTACACAATCCAATTTCTGCAGTATTCTCCTCCCATCAACAAGTCTGGGCCCTTCTGTGTCTCATCTCTGAAACATGCTTTTCACCCACAGCCAGCAAACAACTAATCCCTTGCTAAAGCATTAACATACAGCTCTTCCTCAGTCGCTAAGCAGTGCTTGAACAGTACCAGCCGTTAATGGTGATCATCACAGTATGTGTTTACTTAATACAAATGTGGGGATAGAGCTGCTTTGTGTTTAAATAGCTGCTCATTGCTCCTGTGAAGAAATACCATTTCTGACTATTGTCTGGGGCTGAAGTTCATTGTGTATTTTTGGGGTACCTGAGAGGCAAGGGGATAGTAAACACTGGTGATCTCCTGTAGTTGAGACCATTGTCATGGAATGGAAAAATCTGCTTTTTCTGTGAGTTCGGGTGCTGTTTCTGAGGAAGAAGCAGATCTTGGACACTTGGTATTGAACATACTGATTATTAGTCCAAGTTAGCTCTTTGCTGTTAAGAAGTACTTGTCAAAAGGTGTAAAATGATGGGTTGGGGGGCCTATCAGGGGGTTGAAGTAGAGCCGCTTTAGGGATTAAAAAACATTCTGGGACTACAGACAGCCTAAAATAGAGTAGGGTGAAAACCAAAAGGTACTTAAGTTAATTTGGCAGAAGTGCAAGAAAGCATTTTTCCTCTGATCTCTAAAACACTGAACACCGGAGGGTGGGTGGGGGGAATCTTACGTGTTACATTGGGCCCTCGTGCTTGTGAGTAAAATGCAACCCTGTGTGTACACGAAATATTATTGCTGTTTTTACGTCTCCTTAGTAAGTTTGGAATGTGATTGTTATCTTTCATTGCATAAATCGGATCCACGCTTCTGATGATGGATGTGTAATGGCTCGTTTTCAACTTCATAGGTGTTTAGAGGAGGCAAATATTGCAGTAAACAGTATGTGTATGATTTAAACTAGATATCAGCAATGCAAACATCTCTCTCGAAGATGTTGTGTAACTGTAGAAAATTCCAAATGTTGTTTTAAACATAGCAGAAATTGAGACCAGTGGGGGAGGAATAAATTAGTAGGTTATAGGATAAAATTGGAAATAGGCCTGAAATAGTAAAAATCCAAAAAGCTGCCTTGAGTAGCTGCATTCAGCAGCCTTTTACCTTTTTTGTAGCTATTCTGCCTCTATTTTGTTGTCCTTGAAGTACTTTATTTCCCATTGGTTATAATTTTTGTATGTTGTATTTTGTATTAACACCATTTAAACGCATCTGTACAAATTGATGTTCCTGACACACTGTTGAAATGGTTTCATAATTCTTCATTTTCATGCCATGGTTTTGATATTTAGCAGTGAAACAAACCAACACCAAGTGAACTTAAGCAAATGAGCCTGGAAGAAGTCCTCATTCCTAGACTAAGGAGGAGGGATGCAAGCAGGTAGCAATGCAGAGACATGGAAGGTAACTCTGGAGGGTGGTTAGGCCCTGGCATAGATTGCCCAAAGAAATGGTGAATGCTTCATCCCTGGCAGTGTTCAAGGCCAAGCTGGACAGAGCCTTGGGTGAGATGGTTTAGTGTGAGGTGTCCCTGCCCATGGCAGGGGGGTTGGAACTGGATGATCTTAAGGTCCTTTCCAACCCTGACTATTCTGTGATTCTGTGATTTGTTTTTTCCAATGCTGATGTTCGATAACAGAGAAGGGAGTGCTGCTCCAGCAGAGCCACTCTTACCCCTCTTTCATGCAGTTAGATGTTGACTGGGAAGGAGCCATGGCACACAGAGATCCAAGCAAAATGGAAGCAATGGCTGCTGGTGCTGGATTGGTTTTCTTTCCTAGCTATTTCTGCCAAAGCACAATAGGACACCGCTCCCTGTGCGTGGCAGACTCAAACCAACATTGTGTGTTTTCTGGGCCTGCTGATTCCTATGGAAGGACAACATCACTGCTGCTTCAAAATGGAACAAATATGTTTCATAAATAACACGTAACAAGTGTCAGGGTTGTTTTTCTTGGAGAAGGGCTGAGGACACTCCTGGTCCTCTTATAAATCATTGCTTTGTAATTCCCGAGTATTGGTTGTTTAAAGAGACTGCTAATTTCATAAGCAGGGCCATTCAGTTGAAGGGAAAAGAGAGAGCCCAGAAACCCTTTATCGATATAGCCATCTAGGGTTTTTCAGGAATTTATAATTTGTTAGCTTTGTGGGAGGTTGGGAATACTTTTGATGTGGAACCATGTACCAGTGGGGGAAACTTAAAGTTGTGATAAACTACTTTTGGAAATTAGAAAAATATAAGTTTAATTTATTTTCCTAACTTTTTCCCATAGCTGTCATTTCAAGGGTTATCATGCTAAACCTGGTGTCATGTGGAAGTGGGAAGGAGAGCAAATACTTTCAATTTCTGCCGAAAGAGGTACTAGTAAGACATCAGCTGAAGGCTGTCATCTCTTGCCAGTGCAGAGCTTTGTTCTGAGCTGTACGCTTGAACCGCATTGTCTGCTGCTCACCAATTATCAGTACTTCCCGCAGTACAGTGACAATAGATTGACAATAGATTTCCAGATGAAGTGGGGTGCCATGTACTTAGAGACAGCGGGATTGTTTTTATTCCATTAAGAGGTCTCTTCCTGCTAGACACCAATTGCAAGTAGAAGCGCCGAGGCTGTGGATGCATCATGCCCTGCACAGCAGGATACACTTGAACAGGCTTGCTCCTTCAGTTAGGTACTTCAGTTCTTACTAGAGAAAGCGTGATCAGAAGAAACCGGTAGCTCTTGTATGCCACATCTAGCAGTAACCGCTACAGTGAACAGATGTGACCCCCTTGGATTTAGAGAGCTTCATTTGTATGTTGCTGACTTTGTGCTGTGATTTTATTCCTTAAGATCTTGGCATCTTTCTTTAAACTGGTTTGTGATTGAACGCAACTTTCCTCTCTTCCTCCTCCCAGAACTCTCTCAGGACATCTTTTGTTTTACTTGTAACAAAGTGCTCTAATGTGACCTGACAGGGCCTTCGTGTATTTTTCTAAATGTGGTTTGTGTTTGGCCATACTTCACATGCAGATGAAGAAGTTAATGCTTGACTGCATTTTCAGCAGGGTAGCGCGTGTTTGACGGTTCTGCTGCCGGGAAGAGCGGAGTGAGTGGAGTGAGGCTGAGACCCAGACATAAGCAGGTTGTTTCCAGTAGTTTGGATTACTTAAAGATACCCTGGTGCCCCTTTGTAGGAAAGTAGGCAATTCAAATCGAGCAAAGGAATGAGGAAGAGGAGTAATAAATGTATGTTATAGATGCTTTGCTTGCTTCTCCCTTTTCTGCAGCTTAGTACCTTGTCAGTGTCCCAGTGTTTAAAATTCCTGCTCTTCACTGGCATTTCAGAAATGTGAAAAGGAGGAAGGCACAAAATGTTTACTTTTTTGGTTTTTTCTTTATCAAAGGCTGGATCTCAGTTTCTCTGTGCCTATGTAAAGAGATGGGCTGAGAATTAGAGCTTAAAGGAGAGGGGAGGAAAGGTGATTTTCTCTCTTGGATAACTTTTTGGAACAGAAAAGCATGTTTTGGCCGAAGCAGAAATGGAGCAGATACTGAGTTTGCTTGGTTCAGATGCATTTTCTGCACTTGCAGCTGAACTGCACTTCTGAAAGACCATCTGTGAGTAACCATCTTGGCTGCAGTGGAAAACTTGTATTTGCAAGGATCACCTTCAAAGAGTCTGTATATATACTCTTGCTCTCACTACAGACACCTGCAGCTACAAGGTTCACTTTGTTAATCTGCAGCACTGGTGGGCAGCGGGCACTGAGGCAAAAGCTGCTGGTTTCATGTGGGAAGGAAGATGCCTGCTCCAAACAAAGAGTTCAAAATCAGGTTAACATAAAAATTCATAAATAGCTAAGATAATCCACCCACAGGAAACAGCTTTATATACTTCCCCAAAGTAATCTTCCGTTGAAGCTGGGAGAAAACAATACAATGAAATGGAGAAGACTTGGTAAATCTGTAAAATAATCCAAGCCTGAATTGAAGGACAGTGCAGCTCGTGTGAGATTAAAGGATTATTTCAGTCCAGAAAAGATTGCAGAGGGAGGGAAGATATTTTTTTTAATTAATTTCTTTAGCATAAAAAAAGGACTTGGACATAAAAGGGTCCTTTTTTAATTAAAACTGAGGATGTTTGTGTGTGCAGTGCTTATAATGGAAACGAGTAAGTGAAATCTGTTACTCCTTTGAGACACGGTCTCCAAAGTCTGTGTTGCTGGGGAATGAGCATGGCCCCTCTCTTCTGAGAAGTATTGAATGTACATTAAGTAACTGCTTTAGTAAAACAAATGCTTTTATGACTTCAACTATGAGGGGGTGGAGGGGGTGGGTTATAGGTGCTACTACCTCTGTCTTGTGCAGATGTCTTGGTTTCTGTGTTGCTCTCAAGACTCAAACACCTACTGGCTGCAGGTGGACCCAACACATAGAAAAATTGCAGTGGTTTTTATTCTGAAAGACATGGATTGAAAGCCAAAACAATAAAAAAGTTCCCATCTGAAAAATGTGTGAAACACCAGCTGAGCTTG